AATATGATCGAGAATAAACGGATATCATTGTGCGATACTCAGTTATTACATTGAAATGATCGGCAGCGTAGAAAAAACACATCGTCTAAATAATTGACAGCGGACTTACCTAATATTTGAGTGTGATTTAGATTAATTGTATTATCCAATATTTTATTCTCTTAACAGTATGATGAGAGGTCAAAAGGAAAATAACACACCCGATATAGTAGAAGCAATTAGATCACATGATCGTGATAGGAAACAGCGAATGTTAGCTGAGGAGACACAAGAAGAACGTGAAGCTCGTCTTACTCGTAGAAGATCCTTATATCATCAAAATAAAGCAAAAGAAACTGATGAGCAACGAAGTAAGCGAAAATTTAAAAATGCAACGAATATGCGACAAAAGCGTGCCCTAGAGACTTTAACGACTTCTCAAAACGCGTCGGATGTACATGAGGGAAATTCTTCGGAAAACGATCTTCAAAGGTCTGATCGAGAACTTCTAAAAAAATTTCGCAACACTATTAATAAAATCAAAAACAAACAATGTAATACATGCAACGAGAGATTTCCGTCTATCGATCTCATTAGAGATGAGTGCCGCCGCTGTTATAATGAAACAAACAATCCCAAGAAATTTTCTGCGGAGAATAATATGGATCCAGGTATAAGATCTAAATAATAAATGTTCATGTAAATTTAATAAATCAACCTTTTTTTTTTTAGGAGAGGTTCCAGAAGAACTTGAGGACTTAACTAACGTTGAGGAAATGCTAATCGCACAAGTATTTCCCGTTATTTCTGTATATAACTTACGTGGAGGGCAATATGCATACCGAGGAAATATTATTAATTTTCCACAAGATTTGCAAGAGTTCGTGACATGTCTTCCACGTAACCCATCATTATTGGACGTAATACTTGTTCGGCGCCATTCTAATAACGAATCCACTTTTTATGACTTTACTGTTCGAAGAGAAAAAATATCTCAGGCCCTTCAGTGGTTAAAGGCAAATAATATATTTTACCGTGATATCATTATTGACAATGAAGCCCTACAATCTTTACCCGAAAATGGTTTTATCTCTAATAAACTTCCGCAGCTCGAAGATAGTGAAGATGATCAAATAGAGCAAAATGAAGACAATGAATTAAATGAAAATAAGTTCATTTCACAAACCTTTGTTCCTTCTCAACCACCAGGACAAAGAGAAGATAGCGCGATCAGTCAAACTCTTATAAGGATGTGGCAGGATCGCTTACAGCAGCAAGAGAATTGGATTGAATGGCCACATAATGAGGGTTGTCCTATTAATGAGTTCCGCACTGCAGGATATATGGTGAAAGCATTTCCTACACTTTTCCCCAGAGGTATCGCAGATCTTCGCTGTCAACGGATAAGAGAAGTAAAACCAGCAGAGTATTTCAAACATCTAATGCTATATAAAGATGGATGATTTGCTCGTCATCCACGATGGCGTTATTTTGCATTAAATACATTAATGCGATGGAGAGCGTTGTCGGAAGGCCGTGTATTTGTTAAACAGAATTTAGAAGAAGGTCAACTTACCATAAATGAGATAATTGATTTAATGCAAAATGACACTAATATGGCGGACAGGGTAGTTCGATATGGCGAAGGTTTACGCGGCACTCGTCAGTATTGGATGCGTCGCAGGTCTGAACTATCAGACATGATAAAGCAATTAGGGTCTCAGGGAATGATATTTTTCACATTTAGTACAGCTGATATGCATTGGCCTGATTTGCATAACCTTATGCCTAATAGTGAAAACGCAATAGAGGAGACGAACCAGGAAGCTGCTAGACGTAGGCATAAAGACCTTATAGATAATCCACATATCGCCACGTGGTTTTTTGAAAAAAGATTTAAAGTTTTTTTTGAGAAAGTCTTAATCTCCAAATGGGAATTATCTGATTGGTGGTATCGCTTTGAATGGCAGCACCGCGGAAGCGTTCACGTACATGGAATTGCTAAGCGAAAAGGTGCTCCTGAAATTGAGTGTGATGAAATTAGTAGCAATCAGGATAAAATAAAAGAAGTAGTGGATTATATAGATTCATTAGTCACAACAATCAACCCTGGGCTAAATGCACCTTTACCAACACGCCATCCATGCCAAAAACGTTCAGAGGAGCTCAATGACGATTTACATGATTATGTCGAGCTAATAAATAAATTGCAACGACATACACAATGTAGTGCTTCTTACTGTTTGCGGATTAATAAACAGACTGGAGAGCATGTCTGCAGATTTGGCTTTCCAAAAGAGTTAAAAGATCAGACAGTTATTTGTAATGAAGATGGGCATATGGAATTAATTACGGCAAGAAATGATCCCCTAATTAATCCACATAATCGTCTTCAACTCCAGGGATGGCGTGCAAATGTTGATTTGAAACCCATTTTGACAACCCGTGCTGCTTTACAGTACGTGTCAAAGTATGTTAGTAAGGCTGAAACGCGATCTTTGGCTTTCTCGGAGGTGTTAGATAAGGCTCTTCGTAATAGCAGGTCCAATGATTCTGCCGTAAAGGCGTTTCAGAAATTGCTACTTCATACAGTAGCAGAACGAGACATTTCAGCCCAAGAAACTTGTCACCTTCTTCTTCAAATACCACTTTATCATTGTAGCCGAAATTTTGTCAGTTTAAACCTAAATAAGGAGACAAATCGTTGGCTCCGTGACGGTGACAATCATGGAATTGAAATTAGTGAAAGTGAAATCAGTATAAGTGAAGTTAACAGCTCTCGTAAAACAAGTTTGTCACCTTTACAAAAATATTGGAGTAGACCTGCTAAACTCCAAAATATTTCACTATTTGAATTGTACCTAAAATATAGATTTGTAAAGGGTAAATGGGTACAATGTGAGAAAGAAAACATTGTATGTGTATGGCCTCGTCCATCACCACTTCCAAATGGACCTCACTGGGAAGATTTCTGCAGAATTAAAGTTCTTCTCCATGTTTGTCACAAAGATCTCACCCAACTCACTGAAAATGGAACACTTTCGTGGGAAGATTTGTACAGTCGACATCGTTTGGAAATAGAATCTGACCCCGTCGATCTAATTGGGTCAGAGGTGGGTAATTTTGAAAATGAAGAGAGCGATTCTGATGATCAAGACCAGGATGATACACAGGAAGCATATATACGTCGATCTGACTGGATGTTATTGTCAGACACAATGCCAAATACACTGACACATCATTCTGACCTTGGTACTCGTGATATTGATAGAAATCACGATTGGGTTGGTGAAAGTCAATTACGATATCCAGAACACATTGATTTCGAAAGCTTTATTAAACAAGCTACTCAAGACGATACCGTAGTCAGAGATAATTTGCCGGAAATTGATAAGGGAACCCTAAATGACAAGCAAAAAATGATATACGAACGAATTGAGTCTCATTATGCTGCAACAATTTTAAATCAACATGTAATACCACTACATATTATTGTTATGGGCACTGCAGGAACCGGAAAGTCTTATCTTATTAAGGCAATCCGAAGAATGCTTCGTAGGATGGCAGGAGATAATGGCATAAATGAAGAAGTTCTACTTCTGCTTGCTCCAACGGGTGTCGCTGCCTTCAACATTCAAGGTAGTACTATTCATTCAGCGCTCTTTATTCCAATAGCAGGCACAAATTATAATCTTGAAGGCAATCGTCTCAAAACACTGCAAAGTAAACTGCAGAATATTAGATACGTCATTGTTGATGAGATGAGCATGGTAGGACGTCGAAATCTTGCCATAATCGATCTACGATTACGGCAAGCATTTCCAAATAATAACAACATACCATTTGGTGGCTTGTCTGTTATCCTTGTTGGGGATTTTGGGCAGCTCCCTCCAGTATGTGATCTTCCTATGTATTCAAAAGACCTTCGTCAATCAGATTCTTTATCTGAAGATGGACGTAAAGCCTTTAATCAATTTCAAGAAGTCTACAAGCTTGAAGTTGTGGAACGACAAGCAGGTGATTCAGATGAACAACGCCGATTTAGAGATCTTCTATTACGTTTGCGTAATGGTGAGTCCATTCAATCGGATTGGGAGCTACTGATGACACGGGTTCCAGAAAATCTGCCTGAAATAGAACGAAATGAGTTTTTAAGTGCTACTAACATTTTCACACGGTGGAATGAAGTCGATGAGGTTAATCTCACTAAGCTTCGCTCATTAAATCAACCGGTAATCAAAATATGTGCTATTCACACAGGCGGCTCTGAGGCTGTAAACGCTGATTCAGAAACTGCCAAAGATCTTGAGTCAGAAATATTATTAGCGAAAAAAGCACGCGTAATGCTCACTACCAACATTTGTGTCTCCTCAGGCCTTGTAAATAGTGCAATGGGAACAATAGAGGATATTTTGTTCGAGAGATCCAATCAATTACCTATAGCTGTCTTAGTTGCATTTGATGAGTATTATGGCCCAACTATTACAAATGTAGACGGAAATCAAACCATACCTATCATTCCTGTTCAACGTACATGGGAAGGTAAAACTGGAAGTACATGTTCTCGTCAACAAATTCCTCTTGCTCTTGCGTGGGCCATTACGACACACAAATCACAAGGATTAACTTTACCAAAGGCCATTATCGATCTTGGAAAAAAGGAATTTGCTGCTGGTTTATCATTCGTGGCTATTTCTCGTGTTCGTTCACTTAATGATGTTCTTTTAAATCACTTCAGCTTTGAGAGACTTCTACGGGTTAAAAACTGTAAAAGGTTACGAGAACGGTTAGATGAAGAGAAAAAATTACTTGCGTTTGAAACTTAATTTTTTTTTAAAAAAATATCGAATTTTTCAATCCTTTTTTTTTTTATCTTATTATATAACACTATAAAATTTTTTTTACAGTTAGTAATCGATCTGATCTCGATCGTGATCTTGTAAAACTATTGCTGTATTGTTTTGAAAATTTGCCACGTATCGCGGGCTGATCCGTGTTGATTTCTTTTGTTTGATTGGCTAATCTCGAGCACGTGACTGGAATCCAACACAAAATCATGTCAATTGCTGTACCATAGAGTCCTCGCTACGCTTCGGACAATAAATATATATATACTATAAATATATATAATAAATATAACTTACTTTAATATATTTGTATCTGAAGACAATTTATTCACCTCAAATATTTTTTTGAAAAGATTGTTGTCAAAGTCCACTGATGTATGTGTTATCGCTACTAATTCAGGTGCTGCAAATTGGCATATTTTAATACCATGACATTTTCTTGTTTTTTTATAAACTTTTGCATTTAAAAAAGGGCAGTAAACACTTTTACAGGTAGTTCCATCTTTATAAAAATACTGAATATTCTTAAGATCAAAAATCTCAAGAGCTTTTTCAGTATCCATACCAGCTACATTATAAATACAAGCAACATCATTCTCAGAAGTCTCTGGATATTCTTCAAATTCAAGCCGATATTTAATTTTAGCAACAATTTCTGGCTTTGCTTTCCTTAATTTAATTAATCAGGGCTATATAATATTAAAATTTTAGTATTGGTAGATTATTTTATTCAACTATAGATTAGTTGGCCAATCGATTAACTGATTAGTTAACTAATCGATTGGCCAACTAATCGATTAGTTGAATAAAAAATAAAAGAAATATATATAAAGTGGCAACTGCAACAGCCAGATTAATATTCTTATATAATCAATTAATTTCAACTAGTTGATTAATTGATTAGTTGACCAATCGATCAATTAATCGACTAAGTTGGTTTGTAAAATTCAAATCGATCATGTTATATACTGTCTCAATTTTTTCAATTTCTTCAGAAGTGAATGCGACTACTTGTTTACTGAACTTCCACTATATAATTTATCATTATAATATAATTTAGTAATTTAATATCACAAAATTTTTTATTATATTTCTTAAAATTTATACCGTTAATAGATTATTTGGATCTTGGCTATCCTCATTTAAAGAATTAGAATCCTATTCATTGCCAGAATTCTGTTCATTGTTAGAACCCCATTCATCAACAAAACCTTCTTCGTTGTCAGAATCCCATCCGTCAACAAAACCCTGTTCATTGTCAAACCCTCGTTTGTCATCAAAATCATAACCATGCTGACTTGTATTAAATAGGTAATCTTATTCATCGTCAGAACTAACAGGTTGATTTGTACTAATTTGGCAAGCCATTTACAATATTAATTCATATGTATATACAAGAAAGAAATGTACTATGTACAAATAAAATTTTGACTAATTTGTATAAAATAAAATTTTATATATAATGCAAATAGTTTAAATTTGTATAATTTGTGTAATTATGATTGTGTAACATTGTTATAATATGTACATATGTACTGTATTGGATCTTTGCTTCACATTTTAAATGTACAATCCAGTACAAAAGGCTCTAATCGTTTATTATATTATTATAAGTGATGTACTATATCATTTTGAACTTTATATAATATAGTACTATATAATACAGTACTAAATTATCTTTTATATATGCATGTTTGTACTGTATTGTACTATCTCAAAATTTTATATAATACAGTACTAAATTATCTTCAATACAATACAAAATATATATATATTCTTATTTGCTTATTAATATGTAATATATAGTATACATACTGTATAAATAATTTGAGTACCGACCAGGGCACAAAATTTCCGGGTAATGTAATATGCCTTTTTTTCGGCAATGGTTTTTTAAATCAGAATTTAGATACAAGCTTAGAGTGCAATATATTATAATTAATCAAAGCTTTGTGTGATCGGTTAATAAATTTATAGTGACAGATTTTTGCAAAATGTAAAAAAAATATAGATCAATTTTATATTTTTTATATAAAAATATCATATTTATTTTTGTCCTTACAAATTTTGATTATTAATATAAAAATTTCTTTTATAAGTTTGTTTCTATTATATTATTATATCAAATAAAAAAAAGTCAAGTTATAATAACAGGTTAATAAGTCTATGTCTAATTTTATATTATTACTAGTAAATCTATCCGATATATTAATTTATAATATTTTTAATTAAAACGATAATAGAATAGGTATTTGTAAACTAAGAAGCCCAAAATTAAATCTTTCATCTAAACGAAGATTTTAATTAAATCTTGCAAGAGCAAAACATAGTTTACAAAGAAATGCTGATTTACAAAATAAAATTATTCAATGTTTAGAAAATATGAATTATCTTCAATTAAAACAAGTTCATGATTATATTATTGAAGAGTTAAATACTGATGAGGTTGATAGAAGGCGAGTAGAACTTATATCTACTATTCGACAATTATCTAATCAACAAGTTCATGCAGCTATTAAACTGTTTGAAAATATGTGTTATTCTAAAAGTCTTGATGAAGGAAAAATTTTATCACTATATCTTCAAAATAAAGCCAAAACATATATTGATCAAAGTTTATATAAAGCTAGTCAATCATCTAATTTGTTAATTAAAACAAATAATAACTTGTATTCAGAAAATATTTACTTGAAAAAAACTATTACTCATCTTTAAAAATCAAAGAAAAATTCTACACAAAAGCTTCAAAGTTTAAATAAAAAAATTTTTCATTTAAAAAAAAAGCAGCAAAATCAAATTTCTCGAATTCGTGCAATTGCTTGACAACCATTATTAGCAGATTCTTGAAATTTTAAAGCAACAGTTAATTCTTTTATAATAGCAAATAAAAAAGAATATATATCTGATTTTATAAATTTAATAACAAGAATATCACAAGTTGGTAAAATATCATTTTATAGTACAATGCAAGCAACTCAACTATTTTTAGGATTTTTAACAGGAAAGCCAATTTCATATAGATCATCTCAGTTACTTGTTCGTTAGTATAAAGAAGTTTCAGAGTTACATGTAAACCAATTATCTAAAAATATAAATACATCAAAATTTTTTTCTTTTGGTTTGATGGGTGATAAATCAAGATGTAATAAACAAAAAATTTTTGTTAGCTGTATAATATATTAGAATTCTTTAACAAATTTACCAGATACACATTTTCTTGAGATGAAAGATTTAACTTATTGTAATGGGGATACTATTGTTCAAGTTTTTACAGATACATGCATTAAATTTAGACTTAATTTACAACAATGTTTTACATGTCTCTCAGATAACACAAACTATATAAGTAGAAAAATAGGTAGTGCTATTGCAAAATTTAATTTTAAAAATCATACAAAGTGTTATCGAATTCCTTGCAGAATATACATAGTATATATAGTTATGACAGCTTTAGTATTCAGAAAATTACCTTCAGTTGCAGGTTTATCTGATAAAAAAATTCTAGTTAATCTTCTTAAATTAGCTTACAAACTTCATGACGGTTATAGTTGTAGTGATAAAGAGAGCCCTATGAATATATAGTCAAAACATATTCATCAGCTTTATAAAGATTTAATAAGGTTCGAAATGACAAAATATCAAAATCTAATTCTAACTCGTTGGCTTTATGAGCTTGAATATAGAGAACAATATCTTAATTGTTATAGAGCATACAATTTATTTACTAATTGGTTCATACCTCAATTAAAATTACGTAAAACAATGTCACAAGGATATATAAAAAATGAGAACTTTTTCAAAATTGGCTTAATAATTCATTATTAAATCTTTAGTTGAAATGCTTAATCAAATTTGAAAATAGAATTTATCATCTGATGATTCAATTTATAGCAGGATTTGATTCAGATCCCAAACCTGTTGGCAATAGATCTTTTACTCACCTTCTAATGGGATGTTGTTTACATCAAATATCAGAATTTATTCTTTGTATAACATATAGATTATCTGCTATTGTACAATATTTATATTGTTTTTTTTGGTGAAGGATTATTAGAGGCAAGTGAAACATATAATCATACTACTTTTGAGTTTCTAGTAACTTCTTTAGAACTTGAGGTTAAAAAAGCTCTTGAACTACATTAAAAATAGTTTCATAAATGGCTTTATTTACCTCTAAGTATTTGTCAATTGGGTAGTTCAAGAGCTTGAAAATTTGCTTGTAGTTTCGCATATATTGTTTTAAGACATCCTTGGCCAAAAACCTCTACTCTTTGAGAAATTTGTTATGTGAAATTTCTTGAAATTAATATAAGTACTAGAAACTTTAATAACTTTGAATTATCAGCCACTCTTAGTAATTCCAATTTTTATGCAGAGTCTATAGCATTTATTCATAATACTAATCAACCACTTTATTCTTTTTCAAGATTATTAGAATTCGTCAAATATCATATTTGGTATCTAATTGTACATCAATAGCAAATTGAAGAGCTTTTCAACAAATTTGACTACAAGATATATTTGAATATGTCAAATGATACCAAAGAGTCTAAAATGTGGTTTGCAAATACTTCAATCCTTAATCTTAAATATTCTAAAGAAGAATTAAAAACTCTACATGCTTAAAAAAAATAAAGAATTTCAAGTGATATCGGGACTAATATAGCAGAGTATGGAGAAGACAAAGCAAATAAAACATTTGCTACACTTTTTATTAAACATTGATTGGTAAGATCTTTTTGGTAAATTGCTTTTATTACAAATAAGATACGTACTAATTTGTAAAATATAAAATCCAAAGTACAACGGCAATACTAAAATATAAAACAAAACATGAATGATATAAAGAATTTAATATTTTTTTTTTTAATATAAAAAAGATTACATTTTTTTTTGTTTAATTTTAGCGGGTTAACTAAAATTGGTTAAAAAAAATAAATAATTTTGTAAATTTGTAAAATTTTGATTGTGCTTTATTTTAAAGAACTTGTTTCATACAGTAATAACTTATACAATTTATTTAAAACAATTTTCAAATAATAAAATATAAATTAGATATGTAAGTATTTAATTCTTTTCAAGAATAATTAGTTAAAAAAGTAGTTTTAAATTAATTACGGCAGCATTTATTTAATATTAAATATTTGGTCATGTTTAAGTTGCAAAATAATCTTGAAACATATAAGTAGGAGATATAAGCTTCTTCAACATTCAAATTGCAATATCATATTTAGAACTTAAATTACATATATTATCTGATCGCTAACCAATCAAATTGCTAACTTGCGTATTAATAAGAATTGACACTTGTGTACCATTACAAAATCCATACTTAATGAATTCACGAATTTGTAAACATAGTTTTAATTAATTATAATATAATGCATTCTAATGCAAGCTTATAAACCACAGCTGGAGTAGATTATAATAAAAAGTAGAAAATTTTTGTCTGTCGAAAAGTCAGGTCAAAAATTGTTACATGCAAACAGAAATTTCTGTAATTTTATAGTAACCCTGGTGCCGACAAGCAAAAACCAGAAATTGAGAGTTTTTCGAAATTAATTTGACAAATCAAATCCCGAAAAATGTAATTTAACACACTATATTTGGCAGTTAACTATATATTTTTTTTTGAGCTTGTGACTGGAAGAAAAAAATAAAATTATTATATATAAAATTCAATTAATAATATATATTAAATATATAAGTTGTCTAGTTGTAGGTAAGTTGTTTGGTGTGTTTATTTGAATTAAGCAACCTAAAGAGACTATTGGTATAATAGTAAGCCCTTCTATAGATAGCTTTACTTCCAGCACAATAAATATAGTACTAGAGATAGCAGAACTACCAGAACTATTAGAGCTATTAAAATTATTAAAACAACTATCTATATATTCCATTATTGTGACAAATATAGACTAATTGCCCAAATACAGTTATTCCTTCTACAATTACCTCCTATGTAATCACAAATTCTATACAATCACACAAACATATCTGTTTGTCTATATTATATTAAAAATACCTCTATATAATCACAATCATATTACAATCACTATCACACTTTTTTTAAATAGGTTTATACTAATTTATTAATTAAACTATCTCTTTAAAATCACAATTAAATCTATATATAATTAAATCACATGAATACAATTTTATTGGCTATAATTATTTAACTATAATTGGCCAGATAAATTTTTATAAATTTGCAAAAAAAAATTTTTTGTACACTTAGAAGTTTTGCAACAACCAAGCTTTACATAGTCAGTTTCTGTGTTCAATTTTATCTTGGCCTTAATCAAATTTACTATATTCAAGTTTTCTGTAAGTACAGTTAAATTTACTGTACATAATTCTTTATAATC